TAATGTCGCAACTTGTAGCACTTTTGGAAATTGAACTTGAAATGTAAAGTTTTTTAAAACTTCAACTGCAGTTAGTCTAACTTGCTACTGTAACAGTAACTGGACATGAATGTGTAGGAGACAAGATTACTAATAACAAACTAATGTTTTAGAAGAAAATAAGTCATTCTGACCTGTGAGATGATCATACACTCCAGGACTTTCATCTTAAAGACCAGGTTCTGGATGGCAAAGCGGTAGAGTTGAGGGAAGGAGCCGTCAAACAAGGCCTCGATGGTGGCAGCTTCTGCAGGGTTCCTGGTGCGCAGCCAGGCCTGACAGGGACATAGGAAGTTGTTTATTCACAAGTTACTTCACTACATGCAGAAAAGATCCATTTACATGTATTGGTTAAACTAGAAAAGAATACATTTTTAAAAAAAAAAAAACATTATTTTTAAAAGAAAAAAAATACATTACCGGGTATTTTTTAAAATTATTTTTCAAGTTCTTTGGAGAAAAAAATACTGGACGGGTACATTAATTTTGACGTTCTGAGGAAAAACAATTATTGTTAGTATCATCGCCTTAGGACTAAATGTAGACATGCCATGCTTTATTCTAAAATTGTAAGATATACTATTAGGAATTTGCGATGTATTTGTTTTTTATCAATGTTTTTACAGAACTAGCAGCCAATGGCAGACAGAAGGCTATCAGCATGCACTGTGGAAACAAGGACTCCAGGAAGTCTATGTTGTCAACAACTTTGTATCACTAAATTGACAAACAAACAACCAAACCTGTAGAATAGGCTTCCAATCCAGCACAGAAGAGCTCATGAACACCATGCCATTCCTGGACACCGTGGCTGGCGAGGCGTTGTCAATGTTGTCCGGCTCGAAGATGATCTTACAGTTGGTTGCCATGGGAATACGGTCCCCGTTAGCCAGGGTCAAGGTCTTGTTGTCGTCCAGGACAGAGTTGAGGTTCTCGATCCAGATGGCATCTACAGGGCCATCCAGTACCAACCAGATGTGTTCACCTTCAAATAGCAACAAAATGATTATTAGCTACAATGTAAGGATGAAAATAGGTCATGTACAGTAAACAAATAAAATAACTATAATTATATAGATTAGATTAGATTTATAACATTGCTATAGTAAGGGGGAAAGCAAAACACAGTCAAAGATTAAAGGTACATGTATATCAAGGAGACAGCAATGAAAACAGAGGTAACATGCCCAGCATCTTCAACCTCCAGAAAGACCTAGAGAAGATGGGAGGGAGCAAGAAGGCAAGTGCTGGACAGAAGGGAGTGGAAAGCAGTTAATTACTGTGGTGGTCCGCATCTTTGACAGATGAGGATGATAAAAAATACAGAAGAAAGAAAAGTCACCAAAGGATTTAGAGAGGCAGGTCACCTTTCTTGGCCCTGTGTGTCCTCCTCCACAGTGTGGAGAAGATCCCGTCTGTCCAGTCGTTGGTGGCCACGTCCAGTCGTCCGAACATCTGCGGCGCCGTGATGGCCTTGGGGTTCATCCTCATCTCCCTGTGCGGCTCTCCGCAGACCGTCATGGCCTTCATCAGGGTGTGGATACACGTGGTCTTCCCTGCACCGGTCGGACCCAGGGCCATCATGCCGTGTCGCACACGCTGGGTCTCAAACAGCTGTCGGAGGAGGGACTAGTTAGTACTGGGTAAAAGGTGGCGGGTCTACAGAAGAGTTAGCAACATGTCTGTCAGATTGTGTTTTTGAATTTCTCTAGTTACAGCTGATGAATGGAAAAGGAAGGCCACAATCAAACAAATTGAAAATGTTTTTGCCACAGTATTGGCTGTCTGTATCATTCTGTTGACCAAGTTTTCACTTGTCGTGACAAATTATCCTGAAAAACTGTAAAATGATTTGATATAGCCTTAAGGAATTTCTTTCAACAGGCAAACTCAGCAGTTTTAAAGTGCTTTACATCTACCAGCACGTCGGCAGAATATACTGCACCCGCGCGAAACTCAATGTACAATCGTCATATACTGTGCATAGCACTTCTGATCAGCGGAACGTTTCATAAAAGATTGTATTCACATATATAAGGTTAACATCCTGTCTGTAGTTTCAAATGTTGTGTCAGAAAAAATGTCGTCTGCAACAGGCAAAATTCTGATGCAATGTTGATGAAACATCCAACGAAAAATGCTGTGAAAAGTCAGGGTATCGCACAGGCGTTGTGCATTCTGCTGACGTGCTACATGTACATCTACTATCCAAGGCCCTTCTCTATCCTACCTGGACCAGTTTGAGTTTCCAGGCAGGGTGGTTGATGAGACCAGCTGACTCCACCTCGTCAGCAATGGCCTTCTCCAGCTCGGGGTAGCCTGCCTTGTCCAGGGTAATCCCCGGGAACAAGTCATTTATCAGGCTCAGGAACAGAGGCTCGTCCTCGTCAACCTACAAACAAACAACAAACAAAATCTATAAACAATCGGACATTAACAGGGTCATGTGTGGTGTAATGGTAGTCAGTAAGAGCATTCGGCTTAGAACCAAGAGGTTCCGAGTTCGAATCCTGCCAAATCACACCGACCTTGTGCCCTTGGGAAAGGCACTTAAGACAACTTTCCTCACTTTGCTCAGGTGAAAATGGGTATGCCAGAATGATCATTATCATGATCATGGGCATTAAAATAAAACCAAACAACTAAAAACAATAATATACTTCACTTCCTTTGGGTGAAGTAACTCTTACATTTTATATATGTCTAACCAAAAAATTCTTAGTGATACATGAGATAATATATTGTTTTAGAATGAAAACTTTTTTAAACAACTGCCATGATTAATCCACGATTTGGCCAATAGGCTGTGAGTAATTTTATCCTGAATAAACCGTTCATCATCATTATTCAGTAAAAAGAAACTACCCTGTAGTATACAGAACAGATCCTTGGCTGGTGAGAGTGAAGAACGTTGACGTACCAGTTTGGAGAGGTTCATGTCCCTGAGGACTCTCATGACGATGGTGCTCTCTGTGTCCCCAGGACTGGTTCTCTTGGCAGCACCCAGGGTACGCAGGCAGGACAGGATGTTACGCAGACCAAAGTCATAGTGGACCTGTAATGGTTAACAGAAGATGTATAAAAATTAAGTCACAGTTGAGGAAAGTCCTTTTCTTCTTAATAGTTGTTACAGTAATTTTTTTTCATCTATCAATGCAGTGGTTTGCTTAAAAATTAAAAATTTATTGTTTAACTAGAAAGGCCGACATTTACTTGGGAGCAAATACAGCATATTTCAGTCCATCTCCCTCCCACGCAAAAGTGGACTATTCCAAACTTACCCCTGTGCAAAACTGGCAAAGGTTCTCAAATAAATGAATTAAAGTAGCTATATGAGAACAAAGGTGCAACAACAAGTACTTTCAATCTCGAAAGCTTTACTAATCTTATTACAGGTATGCAAAAACTAACAATGATGAGATTTGATACATTTTGAAGGTCTTAGGCACATAAAATTGAATGTGTGGGTCATTACGCACCACTTAGGTGCAATGTGACCTCAGGTAACCCGCAATGGAACACGTCTTCCATGGATGGAACCGGACATTCTTTAGATAGAACATGGAACGGGTATAGCACTTTTGGCCCTTTTTTGCTGAAAATAGCCATTAAAGTCCCCCAAATGAGTTATTTGGAAGTGGTGTATGCCAAATACATGACTGCTATTCTGTAGACACACGTTCAAGGTACCCTTATACCGAATGTCATATCATTTGGTTGTAATACCAGGGCTCAGGATCCAAAAATCCATTTTTTGTTGAAAAATGCCCAAAAAAACCTTCATAAAAATTTTTCAAAGGCATGTTTCAAAAAAATGAAAAAAACGTCTGGGGGTATTTGCCCACTCTACCTCCATGCCAAATTTCCGGTCATTTGGCTGAATGATGGCGGAGTTGATATCCCTTTGACTGTTTGGCAGGAGGAGAAGGAGGAGGAGGAGAAGGAGAAGGAGAAACATGAGGGAACACAATATATTTCATCCATACCATGGTATGGACTGAAATATAAATATTAACCCAGCCTTTTGTGTTGACTTTATGGCTCCTATCGTAACATTTGGGGCTATAATAGAATGCCTAGATCTGTTCTTTTTCTGAAAAAATCAGAGAACCAACAAATTGAATTGGTGTGGCCTTCTGATGATGATGCTCTTACTAATAAGTCCTGTATCTACAATATTTTGTTAGAATCTTCCCTGTTTAGCTTCAATATTCTTTGTAGTCATGAATTGAAGGTACAGCAATTTCAGTTTTCATATTAAACTAGAATTCCGAGACCTCATACCTCCATGAAATATGATCTTGATATGTAAATGTAAATTTCTTCTTTAATTGTGCAAATGACCTCTGCATTAACATGATATATGCATCGTGATGTATGTTAACTTTTGATTAACTTACAGATGTCCCAAGTATGACCTTCTCATCATTCACCATTACAAAATCATAGAAGTTTTGCATTAATTATTCAAATTAGGTCATCATTTGCATAATTAGTATCTGTTGAAGTTCCACCTGCCATAGGTTACATACATTACATGTATGTAAGTAGTATAATGTAAAACTGTAATTATAGAATTTCCTCATTAATTATGCCAATTAAGTCCTCATTTGCATAATTTGCATTTAATTATGTACATCTCTCTCTTGGCTACCTACACACCAAAAATAACGAAAATATGTTGTTCCTGTCTGGACTTTTCGCATTAATTATGCAAATTAGGTC